CGAGTTACGAAGAAACAGTCAACGTCGTCACTAAACAGATAGTCCAGGTACAATTTTCGAATAACCACCACTTCAAGTGTGGAGGAAGGTGCAGAAGAAGTAGACGTCGTAGTCCAAGCACCACTCGACATAACAATTGTTGGTACCACAGAAGGTGCGTTAAACAAAGCAAAACGTTTACTTCTCCCTGTAACTTTGCAAACACATAGCAAACAGAACGTGAAGGCCGACGATTAGTAATGACTGAGGTCTCCGGCCACAACTTTCAAGTAAGTCGTTTGCTATATGTCACAAACAAAAGAAATGTAACACAGTTCTTGGTCTACACCGGGGCAGAGGTAGATCGTGAGTTGGAATCCCGTAATGCGAAATCTTGTATATGCAGTGCAGAGGAGTCCCATCCTGGGAAGAAACGGCCGTCCTGTGCCTTCAGGTTTCCCTTAGGGGTCTAGCTTCAACTGAAACATGATCTCAACCATTGAACTTTATTCAAACTACTTGAGATGTTTAAGTAGTATGATCCGGTATACAACAATCAGTGATCATGATATACTACTTAATGGACTTACACAATAGTGCATTCTTTTATTAAAATGACAATAAGTTTTCCCATCAGTTGTTATTTAAATACACAATAATGACAGCATACGGCTAATTGTTCGAAGGAATTCTCGATGTTTACCTTAAATTTGTAGGTTGTGAGGGAGATTATTCTAGATTTTACTATACTATGACTTCTCTCATTACTAGCTAATGTTTTCAACCTCCAGATTTAGAAGGAACACAACAATCATTTTACCTATCTATCTACTATCAATAGTGCTGTGCTACTGCTTACATAGACATAGATCTCAAGCAACAAATAGTTCGTTAATAATGGTCAACAAAGTTTAAAACCTGAAAGAGTAACTGTTTTACCATACTTCTTTTTGCTTTCACGATAATATACATTTCACATTAGTAATGTAGTGAACGACAACACACAAGTGTAAACAACCAATATCCAATGTTAGCAACCATCCATGTTTACTTATTGTGATGCTTGTTACTGAACATAACATCAAGGCAATACTGACAGTTTGCACATATGTCAATGAGAGATTGAACGATCGCAGTCCTAAACATCAGTGGGAAGATTCAAATAAATAATATCAAGTGAATTTACTGTAAATACTTTATTGAATAAAGAATTAATATCACAGCAAATGAACATCAATTTCATGGATTGATTGACTATAATCTGCTTTACTGTTATTATTATTCATTGGAATGAAACAACTTAACATAATACTCGACATTGAAAGTGTTTAGAATAAATTGAGTTCAAATGTGGAGATTCAATAATATGAAAAGATCATATTGTGGAAGATATTGACATTGATATAAACAGTTCGATCTGCACACTGAATGAATGCACATTTTGTATGTCTTACAACTTTGAACAATAACAATCATCATAACATTCACATAATATTGATAATGATATTTGTGTTCAGTGAACTATGAACAATGATGAGCCAAGGGTGATAGACTTCCATGACTAATTATTGTTTACGAAGTCGGTTTAATTACGTAAGCCTTTTACTCTTCGTGAAGGAGCATAGGCCACTCACCAGAATTCTCTATCTAACTCTGACCTGGGCAGTCCTTTCAAGTCTCTTCCATTTGTTATTCATCCTCTTCATATCTACTTCTATTTCCCGACGTTATGCGTTCTTTAAATCGGTTACTTTATTAACATCAAATAGGTGAATTTGTCCTACATGATCCTGTTGTGTTCGGTTCAGTGTAGTCAGCTGTACACTAAGTAGAATGTGTTGATTCATTCATGATTAGTAACGTTCGTTTACAAGTTAAGCTATTTGCGACTGTTATAAGGAAAATCGTTAGCGTCGTATCACATTTCACTACAGTTTGTTAGGATCTATGGAGTATTCAAATTGACGTAGTAATGATGTATTCATATCAGTTGATAAGAATTCTTTTACTGTCAGTGAGCTACAACGTAGGACCAAGAACATATATGCATCGATTGAAGTTGCCATACCGCATTAGCACAGGAAGAAAGACATATGGGTGGTTAAGTCAATGGTGATAATATATAAAACAAAGATTGCATATATATGGATATTGTACAGCATAAAGGAATTAGTTGGTAGACAGAAAGATATGAAGTGAGTGTATACACCTACGCGATTGATATCGATTCTTAGCCATGTCACACACAGTCTACAACCTTTGGTTATGACAGTCACGTGGACCCCAACCAAGTAGTCTGCATCTATCAACATGGCTCAGACTAGAAGTTAGTATCTTCAATCACTGATACCACGTTTTGGTTTGGCCGCCCCAACTTTCTTCCAACGATCTCCACCATCGATAAGCAGTGCACGCCGTGGTAACCGGTGTCCAGGCATACGTAACACATGGCGACCAGTAAGTGATGATCTGATGCTTTATCAGCTCCTCTCTTGGTTCTCACGTCCTCTATAGTCCTCCTGAACGTTTTTTTGATGCAAATATGGTCGATTTGGTTTTGTGTAGTGTAATCCGGTGAAGTCAATGTGGTTTTGTGTATGCGTTTATGTGGGAATATAGTGCCGCCTACGACCAGTTTATTGAAGGCACATTGATTTGCAAATCTCTCACCATTTTCGTTCCTCTCTCCCAGTCTGTGTCGTCCCATGATGTCTTCATATCCAGTGTTGTCCGTTCCAACCTTGGCGTTGAAATCTCTCATCAGAATGGTCAGGTCCTTTGTTGGGCACTTCTCGACGATTGACTGCAGCCTATCGTAGAATTGATCTTTAGCGTATTCATTGTAGTCGTTGGTAGGCGCATAGCATTGGACGATGTTCATTGAAATACCCTCTTTCTTTGTTTTGAACGAGGCTTTGATGATCCTTGGTCCATGAGATTCCCATCCTATAAGCGCTTATTTGGACAGCATAGATGCAACTCCTTGTGTATGAGGGGCATTTTCTTTTTCATGGCCGGAGTATAACAGGAGCTCTCCTGTAGTTAGTCGTTGTTGTCCAACTTGTGTCCAATGTGTTTCACTGATCCCAAGTACCTCTTGGTTGTATTTAATCATTTCTGCGGCAATTTGTAAGGCTCTCCCGGTGTCCCACATTGTACGAACATTCCATGTACCTAGATAAATGGTCGCTCTGGTTGTCAGAAGGGGCATCGGCCTCGTAACTTCCGAAAGAAATTCGGCTTTCATCATGAGGCGACAAAATTCTTCTTAATGAAGACCTTCTGACTCCCAGGGCAGAGTTTAAAAGGTTTGAATAATTTTTTCTGGTTAGCGTTTTTTTAGCGAGTTAGTTTTCTACGGTATGCGTACGCTAACCCCTATTGACTACTAAATTTTAGCAAGTAGTATAAAACAATATACAAAAGAACAAATAATTTACGGTTACGTCTGATAAAGCCTGCGAAGCCAGGTGAAAGGGAAACGGACAAGATAAAAGTAATATCACCAAAATAAACTTCCTACTTTGATGCTATGAATGAATGCCAAGGCGTGAGAAATTGAAAATTGATTACGTAGCCAATTTTCTGAAGTCCTCAGTAAAGTTGACTTCAATCCTAAATGGTAGTAAGTTCCCGATTCCAGGGTTTTAGGCTCCACGTCGTTGCATCGACGTAGAACACTACGGACGGACGTTGGAAGTTCTGGATATCTCGCACGAAGAAGATCCAATATTTGATCAGCCTTCTTTATGCTTATGTAATCACCTTTCATCATTTCAATGACTATACTGTCTAACTGTTCTCTGATTGAATGATGAATGGCTGGAGACATTTCTGACATCACACAACCTATAAAATTTTATTAATTAAACAGATACTACCACTGATTGGGTTGTCTGAACACTGGATGTAACTAAATGAAACAGTAGCTGTATCTGTGACAATATTAGCCCACTGCTCTGTAGCTACGGTAGTACGCGATTCTGTGACGACAACTGGATTGTCTGTCTCTTCGTCACAGCTCGGTAACTGACACTTCTTCATAAACTGTGTTTTAACTTCCTCAACCTTCTGTAATAAGTTGCTCGAGAACAGCCAAATAACCTCAGGTAGTTTGCAGCTTCAGCCCGTCTTTTTGCAATCTTATCTACCTGTCTATTATTATTCTGAAAGAAATATTTGAACTAAGTAAAACTGAACATAGACAGCAACCAAATTTTTCGACCTGCACTGCTAACAACTCACCTGCATAGCTTTTTGAATTTTGAAAAAGTGCTTCACAACCGACAACTCTTTGTATTGTGTCTGTTTGTTGATGTATTAAAACAAGACCTGAAATTCGATAGACTATCCCTCACCAAAAGTCTGTATTGCATTAGAATGTAAACTGATTTATTCAAATTTACTACTTTGAGGCTTATTTATATTATGTTGATGAAATGTTAGTGTGCAAAAAAGCGTAACGAAAATTTTGAGGATTTACCCAAAATTTCCCAAAACTTTGGGGAAGGCTATTTCACTTTTGGGATTTCCCCAACATTTCCCTAAAGCTGGCAGCTTGGGATGTTACATAAAATGATGATGATGATACCCAGTCTCCCAACTTTGGAGAAAATTTAGTCCATTTTGAGGAAATTTCGGAAAAGCCCCTATAGTAAATTTTGCGGAAATGAGAAAAAAACACAAAATTTCCCTAGACCTGGGGAACTTGTGGAAATCTTAGGGAATTTTGGGGAAATCCCAAAAGTGAAATAGCCTTTCCCAAAGATTTGGGAAATTTTGGGTAAATCCTCAAAATTTTCGTTACGCTTTTTTGCACACTAACATTTCATCAACATAATATAAATAAGCCTCAAAGTAGTAAATTTGAATAAATCAGTTTACATTCTAATGCAATACAGACTTTTGGTGAGGGATAGTCTATCGAATTTCAGGTCTTGTTTTAATACATCAACAAACAGACACAATACAAAGAGTTGTCGGTTGTGAAGCACTTTTTCAAAATTCAAAAAGCTATGCAGGTGAGTTGTTAGCAGTGCAGGTCGAAAAATTTGGTTGCTGTCTATGTTCAGTTTTACTTAGTTCAAATATTTCTTTCAGAATAATAATAGACAGGTAGATAAGATTGCAAAAAGACGGGCTGAAGCTGCAAACTACCTGAGGTTATTTGGCTGTTCTCGAGCAACTTATTACAGAAGGTTGAGGAAGTTAAAACACAGTTTATGAAGAAGTGTCAGTTACCGAGCTGTGACGAAGAGACAGACAATCCAGTTGTCGTCACAGAATCGCGTACTACCGTAGCTACAGAGCAGTGGGCTAATATTGTCACAGATACAGCTACTGTTTCATTTAGTTACATCCAGTGTTCAGACAACCCAATCAGTGGTAGTATCTGTTTAATTAATAAAATTTTATAGGTTGTGTGATGTCAGAAATGTCTCCAGCCATTCATCATTCAATCAGAGAACAGTTAGACAGTATAGTCATTGAAATGATGAAAGGTGATTACATAAGCATAAAGAAGGCTGATCAAATATTGGATCTTCTTCGTGCGAGATATCCAGAACTTCCAACGTCCGTCCGTAGTGTTCTACGTCGATGCAACGACGTGGAGCCTAAAACCCTGGAATCGGGAACTTACTACCATTTAGGATTGAAGTCAACTTTACTGAGGACTTCAGAAAATTGGCTACGTAATCAATTTTCAATTTCTCACGCCTTGGCATTCATTCATAGCATCAAAGTAGGAAGTACATTTTGGTGGACGACAGGAAGCAGATGCAAGTGGTCTGCATTCTCAGCAAATGGCTGGTGAATAAGTATCATTACGTTTATCACGATCATGTTAGTGAGCATTATATTGTTCAGGTGGTTGATTTCGATAGTCGATTCACGCTGCGAAAACGCATCGTTATGCATGGTTGTGGTAAGTTGTAATCAATTAACATAAACGTGGATGGCGATCCAAAGAAAGGGTTAGCTAAAACCACTTAAAATGTTTGTTATAATACATATGTTAAGTTTGTCCCACATTGTTCCTACTCGTTCCCTTTCTACTCTTTCCTGTATTGTTTAAGACTATTTATTAAAATTCAGTAGTCACTTGTATTCTCAATAACTGAAGTTCACTTTAGGGATTTCCCCAAAATTCACAAGATGTTAATTATCATTGTATTTATCACTATAATCACTGTACTTTAATTAGTGTAACAGCTTTTTACTTTGTGATCAATACTCAAAGTGATATAACTTGTCTCTTGTATGTTTCCCTTTCAGCTGGCTTCGCAGGCGTTATCAGACGTAACTGTAAGTTCTTTGTTCGCATTATTAAGAACATTGTTATACTGTTGGTAAATCATCGACCTTTCACATATCTTAACACGTTATTATACACTTAAAATGATTTTTTTTATTTTTCAGAATATTGTCAATGACAGTTCTACAACAGAATGAGAAACTTTGTATTCATGGATTATTTGTAAATTTATTAACTGTAATAAACATTTATATACGCCATAAATCAGTCTTTTAAAAATAGCGACAAATCGGTCTACATTAGGTTTATTTGGCAATGCGCGATTGATGAAAAGTAATAAAACATCCCAGTAAGAAATGTACGTAAGCATTCTCCCTAGGTCTTCCGTGATGTCGATAGGCTTTCGTGAAGCTTTTGCGTTAAAACAGTTTTCCAGGAAAACCGAAAGGTTTGAGGAACCTTCCCCAAAATGATATAACTATCGTGTCCGTTTCCCTTTCACCTGGCTTCGCAGGCTTTAACAGACGTAACCATAGTTCATTTGTTCTTTTGTATATTGTTTCATACTACTTACAAAAATTCAGTAGTCAGTTGTATTCCCAATAGTTCAGTTAACTTTGGGGATTTCCCCAAAATTCCGCAAAATTTACTGTATCGGCTTCCCCAAAATCGACCAAATTTTCCCTAAAGTTTTCTGAGTTTACCCTTACTAACCATTATGGTCAGTTTCATATATTTTAACTTCACAAATGCATAACTAAATTTTATTTTATTTCAACAATCCGAGCTGCGAATTTTGGGGAAAATTTGGGGAAGCCACTATAGTAAATTTCGTGGAAATGAGACCCAAACCCCAAAATTTCTCCAGACCTGAGGAAATTCCCCATTGACTTTGATCAATGATGAATTTTACTTTGAGGGTTTCCCTTCAAATTCCGAGAAATTTCCCCAAAGTTGGCAGCTTGGGAAATGTCAGAATTGAAGCAGATATCAGTGGGGATTCATAATGATTACGGAGTATAGCGACGTAATTGAAGTTAAGAATGTACCGTGATGGATCCCGACTTAGACATCTGAAGGCACTATGTCATACTAGAGGTGAGGTTGTGAGTAATTATGCTAGGGTTGAAGCTATCACGAGTTCACTTAATCTGAGTACGAGAAACAAGTCTCTATGATTAAATACCAGTAAGCGAGCTATTGATGAGGTTCAGTCCCGCTAACTAGAGGGAGAAGTCCTAGCTTGGAATGGGGAATTATATTCTGCAAACAGTCAGAAACGAGCGATAACAACAAACACAATTCAAAACGTATACATGTACAGTACAAAACCTTCCTTGAAGATAGTTATCACATAGCATACTAGAAGACGCAACAGACCAATAGCATTTTAGATATTTCAGAAGCGAGTAATACGATAATAATATGATAAGAGCGCTTTTGGCGCGAAAATAAAGAAATTCAAATTTTCTAAATAAAATTACAAAATAAAGCCTTTTCTCAAGTGAGTTCTGGGGATCTCAAATTCTCAACAAATGATTATTTCGAAGTTTGATATTAGGTGGAAAAAGTTTTGGTTGTCAATGGTTAGTTCTAATTAATTCGTATTTTGTGTCTAATCACATCTTTTAGTTGGACGCTTCTATTTAGATCAATTTAACAATACGTTTTAGGTATTGTCTATCAAACAGGATTATATTCACTACATTTGGTATAATCAACTACATTCAGTCTGATAGTAATGGATACATATTTTCAATAAATCTTGACTGTTTCATACATTTATGAATCAAAATTCCTGTAATTATTGATCTTCAGATATTATTGTATAAAGTTGTTGGGATATTCAGGAAAATATTTCAAAAATTATCCTGTTAAGCCTAGTGCTATCCTTGGACATGAAATAGTATCATCTTATTGGTCAGTATTTATTTAACGTGTCATTTTCCTACTGGCCATTATTGTACAATGTTATCTTCTATTTTATGGTACGTTGTGGACTGCTTGAATGGTATATAAACAAGTATGTTTGAAATATAATGATTCATAACACAGAGGCTGTGACTTGTGTTCTGGACTCAACTGGCTGGATTAGGCAGGGAAGCGAGACCAATCAGAGCCCTAGGTCGTTCTACGTGTTTGTGCGTCTTTGGTCCGATCAATAATTCGCTATCCCTTAATCCTTCAGCAGCATTATTTCCACGTTATAACAAAAGTAGACCGTAATTTTTGTTGTGAACTGTGTCTGATAGCAGATTTATTTCTAACTAATTCAATGTAGTGTACAGGCTTTATAATCAGTTTGTAGACTTGTGAAGAGAATAAGAATTTAGAAAGAGAATATCCCAAATTAATGTGAAGATGTAAAAACACTTTAAGGTAACTGATTGATAATTTTATATTGTATCCAGCAAACAGATAACGAGATCATTGGCAGACGTACAAAAAAAAACTTAGTAATAGAACTGTGAAGAAAGCACTCAACTGTGTTACAAGACAAGCTCTCACATGCAATCCTTAACGCCAAATGAGGAGAAAATGAAGAACAAAGAACATAATATGTTGAGAAATGCAGCCCTTCCTGGACATAAACATGAACATAATAATGTAGTAATTATTATGTAGTGAAATTCCAACAATGTAAACATTTTTCTATCATAATTAAGATAATTTTCAGTTTAATGATACTAATCCAGATTATCAATAAATTCAAGTAATAGTTAATCAATCATACCATTAAACATTGACATTAATACAAAGACATCAGGAACCTGTGAAGAGAAGTAATTGCAAAATCGATCAGATAGATGGTACCTAAAGTATCTGTTAATCATGTTATTCGTAACATAATACATTTTACATCGTTTCCTTTTTTTTTGGTTTATTTCATTTATTAGGAATGATCAACTACTGTTATGTTTGTTGTACAATGTTCATACTTGCTCCCTTTGTATATTGTTTTATACTACTTATTTACATTCAGTAAGCAGTTGTATTCTTAAACATTTTCACACTTATGTTGCAACGCAAGTTGTACTGTAATATTCTGAAATGTCCACATGTACTAATAATTTTTATTGTATTTATCATTATAATCACTGTAACGGAAATGCACAGTTTGTGCATTTGTTTGAACAAAACAATTTTTATATACTTTTGCTCTTGGTACTGGTTTCGGTTGTTCATAAAGTGTTATCAAATTTAGACACAGCTTTCAGCTTTCTGTATTTTCATACTTGAAAGACGCGGTCAAACGCCCCCAGCTACCTTACAATTTGAGGTTTGTAACTATATTTTGTGTGTTATTTAATGAAGAACTGCTATTGTAGACAATTTGTTGTTTTGGAAACTTCGGTTTTTTCGTTATATCATTACGTACTAGATAGTGTCTACATCCATTTGTTTATCTGTTGATGTAAAACGTATGTCGATTGTATCATCAATTGTATCACAAGTCAATGATTTACGTGAAGTTTTATCCTGTGAATTAGATGATTTGGTCATGGAGTTTTCATTGTTCATCTGGACAACATCATCAGAACAAACTTCAGGTAGAATTGTTCAAATATTTCTACAAAAGACTTATAGCTTGTCATTTTGGCCTTAGTTTTGATTGGCTATTGTCGACCTTCAACGTGTCATTGTCTACCTCTCTATTTTGATTTTTCTCCCTTTATCTTGATTCTTAATCCTATATTTGTCAGGGATTCTTTTATAAGTCGATAGATTGGATTTATTTTGACGTGTTCGTTGCTGATTGCCCCAGTGCCAAGTTTCTAAAGATTTTTTAGTGATTTTAGTATTCTCATTATCCTAAACCTTAACATTTTCCAAGACAAACGTCAATCAGCGGTTTCAACATGCATTCATATAAACGAAGATATGTTATGGCGTTCGACCTCTAATTGATGTTCATACAGGCAAAGATGAAGAAGGCGTCTAATTTGTCCGATATAGTGTTTTTCGCTAGTGGAACAGTTCATTTTGTGAATGATTTTTGTGTTTCTATTTTTTTGTCGTTTCATCATATGGTTTATACAGGATTGATTGAAGTGATTTTGCCAATTTGTATGCTTTGCCTATACCAAACGGCTTCAATTATCTCTATATAATATGTGATTTGTTTTTTATATGTTGTAGGATGATCTGTTTCTTTGTGCTTATACTTGAATTATTTTTGCTAGTGTGTTGAATTTATATTGCTTGATGAAGTTGTGTGACTATCTGTTCTTTTGAAGCACACTCATAAGTTATTTGTCTTCGTTTTTTGCGAGCTGCAAGAGTGCTGCTTTGAGCTTTGACTTGAAGCTTTGTACATATGTGTCTATAGTGACTCACGTGCACGGACATTCCAATTATCACCAGACGCGATTCAAGCATTCGAGAACGCCAAAAATGCACTAAATAAAAAAGTGACACTAACTAGACAAAAGAGCGAAACACCGTGAGCTATCATGACGGATGCATCAGACGTAGCGGTAGGAGCCGTTTTACAACAATTAGTAAATGGCATATGGGAACCGCTCTCATTTTTTTCGAAAAGACTGAATCCGACACAAACAAGATATAGTACTTTCAGAAGAGAACTTCTAGCGATTTACTTGGCAATAAAACATTTCCGACATATGATTGAGGGTACCATTTTCACAGTCTACACAGACCATAAACCCCTCACAAAAGCATTAAACGCCAAACAGGACAACTACTCGCCGAGGGAAATTCGACAATTGGAATTTATTTCCCAATTCACGTCTAACATACAGTGTATCAAAGGCAATAGTAACGAAGTGGCAGACGCGTTATCCAGAACGATGGTCAACGCTCTCTCTCTCGATTATCACAAGTTAGCAGCATTACAAAATATCGACGTCGAGTTAAACAGACTAAAGTCTGCCAATACAACCTCGTTAGTTCTCAAAGAAACTCCATTGGAAGAAGTAAGCATCACCTGCGATATTTCCACAGGTCAACCAAGACCATTTATTCCAAAGCCGCTAAGGCGAAACATTTTCGAAGCCATGCACAATATTTCGCATCCCGGAATAAAGGCCACCATCAAACTAATCAGCGAACGTTTTGTATGGCCAAGTATGAATCAGGATATTCGTAATTGGACGCAAGCGTATATAAAATGCCAGATAGTTAAGATACATCGCCACACCAGTTCCGCAGTAGGTCATTTCCGTCATCCCGATAACAGATTCGAGCACATACATATCGATATTATAGGACCACTGCCGGTTTCGAATGGTTTCAGTT